AAAACATGTTTTCAGCATACAGTTCTTACTCCCATCTAGCTCTGGGAACTAGGTGGTAGTATTATCCCAATTTTAAATAAGGTAAAGCTAAAGTTAAGAGGCAGTGAGGAGCCTAGTGTCTTGGGAATCGTGGAGATAGAGAGTAAGATGCTTATTAATTCCATAGCCCTTGCTTCTTGAACATCTTAGAGAGAAGACACATATTTAAGGATAACAGAATAGGAAAAAGGCAATCTAATATATTGAGGATGAAATAAAAGATGTTTACCAAGCAGAAGAACTGAGTAACACGAAGTCCTTGAAAACTGCTGAGACTGGGAATAGGGAAAGCTTAGATAATGGTTGGATTACCAAATATCATAATATTTATATTTATTCTACTTTTCTCTTCCTCATCCTTCAAAACCATTCATTTTGCTCCCCCTATTATGCTAATGTATTTTAAAAAAGTTTCCAGTTTATTTATAATTGTATGTCATCAGTAACAGAAGAATCCTAAAGCCATTTGAGATTTTACTTGTCATTCTCTTCGTGCATTATTTGTTTCAAATTTGACCTTATCCAGCATTTTCCTAACTTAGAAGGTTGTCGTTTTGTTTAGTTTCTGCATCATATATCAAGTGGATTTCTTGTTAGTGGATATTACTATAATTAAGGTATGCTTTTGGAATAAGGGCTTGAAATTTTTTTTTTTTTTGGTTAACTGAAAAGTTGGTATTTTCCCTCTCATTTAGTATTAATAAGCACTGTTTTAGTCTGTAAGAGCATCTAAAAACATTTTACAACCTTTGAATGAAGGCATGGTAAGACATTAGTATCCTGTTCTAACAGAAAATAAAGACCCCCACCTTTATCCTGGCCTTGTAAGGAGACCCTGTGACCACACACCTCAGTTGTAGTTGGTCTTAGATCACTGCTGTTGTTAACCCAAGAGCAACAAACATGCTTTCTGATTAGTAAACCACATTGTGAGTGTGTTTCTGAACAAATTATTTTCTCTAGGAAGCAATTTTTGGAGATAAACTTCACATTTCCTTTTTAGTCCCCACTACCCTTCCCCCGTTTTCAGAGGCTCAGATTGGGGTTAAAACACCCTTTCATGTTAATTACTGTTCTCCCCACCCCCAGCCCCACTCCTTTCCTGTTCCCCCCTCTTTCCCCCACCCCCAATGGCACTGCTCTGCAAAGCCTGCCATGATTGATATGATGGCAGTGCTGTCATTCTTCTTAACCAAAAAAAAGTCATTTTTGTTCTAGTTATTTTAATAGAGTCCCATTAAAGATGTATTGCTGACTGAAATACCGGCATGAAGGGCTCTCACTGAGCTGAGCCCAGGAATTAAGAAGTCAGGAAATCGGCTGCTGCATTGCAAGAGAGCCTTGTGTGACACCGAATCTCCTGATTGGGGAGATCATTACTGCTATTATGACTCGACTTGCGTAGGAATTTTAAATTCCATCTGAATGTCAGTAATAACCCTCTTAGCAAATTATCCTGAATAAAATCACGAAGGCATTTTATATAATAGGTGTTGAATTACTGGATAGATTTGCTAATTAAATACTCTTTGTTCTGCTGCAGTTGACATTACAGGGTAAGATCTTGAACAATTATTCTCAACAGCTGTACTTTGTTAAGGGAAAAATTAACCACAAAGTTTATTTTTTTACACTTGAAGTTGGCAGATTTTTGAAATGTGCTTGAAAAAATTCCATCATCCAATTGGTAATGAGTAGATAAATATGCAGGTGTTGCTGTGAAATCAGATAACTGCAGACTGCCTTATTAATGAATTTAGCAAGCCTTTATAGCCCTGTTTTCTAGCTGCTGGCACTTAGAAAATGATTTTCTGTCAGAATGGGTAGCTTTAATATTAGGCTTGTCACTTTGAAATGAACTTATGCACGGTTATCTTGTAATCATTGTACCTTGTGTCCAGTAGACCTTTCAGGATACCTGTGGATTTTTTTTTTTAAATGCATTTCCTTAATGGGGAAATATCTGTAATGTATAAGTTTTTGATTTTTGACTTCCAGAACATTTGTGTGGAATGGGCTTTTTAACAAGGCAGGGAGACATAATGAAAAGAAAATGAAACATAAGGTCCAGCCCAGATTAGCGCCTAGTTTTCCTCATCTGTAAAATGGGGTTTATAATTCAGCATTCTACAAATATTCATTAATAGCTACTGTGTACCAGGGCCTCTGCTGCTGTTGCTGCTTAGTCGCTTCAGTCATGTCCTACTCTGTGCGACCCCATAGATGGCCTCTGCTAGATACTAAGAATTTGGTAGCCCACAGGAAAGATGGTGATTAAAACTATTGTCAGAAATTGGTACCACCTATGTGGAGACTTGTTTGGCTATGTTTATCAAGAATTGTTAAACGATACAGCCTTTGACCTGGTAAGCCCTCTTGTAGGAGTTTATTTCATTATTGGCAGATTGGCAAATTACAGGTATACATGTAATAAAAGGATTATTAAAGTGTGATTATGAAGGTAAGCATTAGGAACCACCTACATTTATTAGTAGAGCACTAGTTAAATCATGCTTGAGATGTACAGTGGAACACTATGTAGTCATTAAAAAGAATTGAGACTGCTCTTTGTGTGTGAGTAAGAAATAATCTCTGAAATAAAGTACTAGGTGAAAAAAGCAATTGCAGTGTATGTAGTTCTTTTTTAACTTTTTATTTTATATTGAAGTATATCTGATAATGATGTTGTGATGGTTTCAAGTGGACCGCAAAGGGACTCAGGCGTACATATACATGTAATAGTATATATAGTTTTAGTAGTTTGCCTAGTTTTCTGTCATTTGTTTGCAAAGCATCCATCGGGAGTTTTCATCCATCAAAGGGAAACTCATTTTAGTAGCAGGCCTCACTCAGATCGTGTGTGGAAATGGTTGTGAGCTGGTGGCACGACAGCGTGAGGGTGGGTGTTGGAGCTGAGAGATGAATGTTGCCACTTCCCATTGGAGGTGTACTTGGGGGTAACACAGTAGGTTTGGTTCATGGTGCAAAAGGAGAGCAGAAGAAATCGGTTAGTGCACTCGTGGAATTGGAGTGAAAGATTGACAGATTGCTCCCGAGGTGTTGTACTTAGCAGGAAATAGTTACCTTGTGGGGCTGTCCGTTGTGATGAGGGAAGCCCAGCCCAGCGGGGTGAAATGGGCAGAGGGTGAAGACAACTCATGGTAAGTAGTTAGTTTTGTCCTCACTGTGATTACCTTGACTTGGGTGGATCACGTTATTGCTTTTTTCTCGAAGGAATTGTCAGGTGTTTTCCCACAATGCATTTTCCTATAATTTAAATATTAAAAAATGAAGATAAAGTGGAGGAGAGTGAATATTTTTTATGAGTTAACTGGATTTTAGCATCTAGTAGAAAAGTGATTGAGATGACTCTGAGACCTATCAGTCAGCTAGCCAACAGTTTTTCAAGTGCTTGTTAGATGTGAAGCACAAACATGTGCTGTGACCTCCAGGAACTTGTGGTCTAATTGGGGAGGGGACAGACTGTGGGCTAAAAACTGTTTCCAGGATGGGATTACGACGATTATCTTAGTCCAGTGGTCCTTAACCCTGCCTGCAACATAAGAATAATCTTGAGAGCTGTTTAAAAAAATTGCTGGGCCCAGGTAGTGGCATTTTAGAAGATCCCAGGATGATTCTGCTGTATAGCCACTGTTAAAACCATTGGTTAGCCTGATTGGTATTTACCACCACCCACCACCCCCAGGGCAGGAGAAAGGTCTTCTTTTCCTGATAACTTAGAACACTGAGCTCATGAACAACTTTGGGAGACTGTACCAAAGGGGAGGCGTACAATAGAAATGGAACACAAGGGGTAGATATAACAGATCCTCTTAAGGTGAGCATTTATAGGGCTTTGTAACATGAAGGACCAGAAGAACAGAAACACCATGAGGTTTGAGCTGAGTTGACATGGAAGACTCTTGGAGGTAGGAAAAAGAAATGTAAATAAAGTAAATCTTCTCTCTGACTCATTGGAAGAGTGACTCTGGCTTAGAGTGATGCTTTCAAAGATGGATGCTGATCTAGAGGCAATAGCGTGCAGTGACTCAGGCCCCACGCTCTGTAGTCAGAGTGCCTGGGTTCATATCTCTGCTCTGTCACTTACTAGGACAAATTAATTATCTTCTCTTTGTTTTTTGTCTCTAACAAATGGTTGTATTAATAAGTGGCTGTCTCAGGGCTCTTAGAGAATGAAATGAAAAAATGCACGAGATGCTCATAGCACAGCGTTTGACCCATATATTTTATACATAACAAACATACACTGAGTGCTCAGGATGTTGTATTACTCCTTTGAAGAGGACTTCATTTGTAAAATATGTTTTGCTTCTGATCTAGTCCAAGATAATTTATAATTTTGTCAGCAGCTACACTGTAGCCTATTTAGCCTTTACTCTTACAGCTGTATATACCTGGGGACAGACCTATCTACAGATATTATCTACTATCTATTTGTCTTTATTCACTGAATGTTTATTGAGCCACACCTTTGTACTAGGCACTGTGCTTGCTCCAGGGATATATAGTGAAAAGGGCCCCCCCCTTTCTAAAATTATTCTATCATCCTGAATACTGGAAAGATTGCTAAGTTTTAAGTGCTTGGTTAATCTTTGTGGTGGTGGTGTTTTTTTTAGCCATATAGTTCTTTTTAAATATTGCTATCAAGAATAGTTTGTCTCTATGCCATATTATGAAAGAATATTTTATTATGTATATTTGTTAAAGATAGACCTTTACAGCAAATCTGCAAACATCTCTCTGCCTAAGAGTTGGTATAGAGGCAAACTGATTTTTAGATTATGATGATATTGTTTTAAGGATTATAGTTAGAAAACCATCAAGAGCTTTTAAAATATATGGAAATGACAAACCATGGGGTTGCCTATCTCTCTCAGCATATATTTAGGTTTTTGTAATTACGTAATGCATTAATCTTGACTTTTTTTCATTTCATTTAGATTTTGATGCATACAAAAGAGATGGTTCAGAAGGTAAGCATTTTCATTGTACAGTAATTCTTAGATACCATACTTGGTGATGTTGTTGTATTTAAGGAAAATTGTAACCCAAACACACTGGAAATGGCTTCTTAGGATGCCTGGTTTACATTTATAATCCCTCCTAATGGATTATAGCCTTTTTCTTTTACTAACATTGATATAATCTAACCGCTGCTTGAAGCCTATATATGAGTGTTTCTAGCAAATTAGTAACAGTGCTAATTAGAGTTTACTTCCAGGCCTTTATACTGTATGTGCTCTAGTGTTGTTTGTGATGATTGATTTTTTTTGGCACTCTTCATATTCTGCTAACTACTAAGAATTTAATATAGATTTGTGGACCGGGTTGAAAAAAACCCCATTTTGTCTCTGCTTTATAAATTGCCCTGACCATTAAGCATGAGGGACAGTTGGTAAATACAGACCCCTCCCTTTCCTGGTCTCTTATCTTTATATTATTCAGTCCTACATTTTATTTCAGTTGAAACTAGATACTTCCTCTGCCATTCCACTGTCTGCTTTAAGAAAATCAGGGAGATTTTATTGTGTTTTTTGGTTTATTGCGGCTTAGTCTTTGTACACTGACAATATGGGCAAGAAAAAATGTAAACTCTTCAAAAATCATTTGGAACCTGTAATTTATATAATGGAAAGTTTTGAGTTTCACTGAGTGTGTGATGGTCATGGTGTTTTTGTTGTTAATTTTTATAATTTTTGCTTTTCATTAGATGAATCTTGAAGTTATTTATGGAGATACAGATTCAATTATGATCAACACCAATAGCACCAATTTGGAAGAAGTGTTTAAATTGGGAAACAAGGTGAGATAATTTCATAAAATTATATGTTTCACCTGCTTTTGTAAATTGTGTCTGGTTTCTACATATACATGTCCTTTTGAAAATGATAATAAATTTAGTGCCTTTGATTCTTCATCCCCTGTTTTATTTCAACTTCTACTCTAGTTATTTGCTTTGAGGGCAAAAATCAAAGGAAGTTGGTTTTTCCATAAGTAATAAATATGTTTTACCTTTAGAAAACAGTCTAGGTTTGGTAAGTTTAAGATGTGATCACATTAGTTCCTATCACATTGTCATTCATAAGGAGAAATATGTCTCTAGTTACATTCAGATGTATTTTATACAGTGATAGATATGGATAAATACATACCTAACTACATTATATGCATATATCTATAATTTTCACAGGAATACTTACAATATATTTAAAAAGACAAGGGAACTTTTAAAAATAATCATTTGTGGCCTAACTGCAGTTCATCTAACAATTAGGTGTTTTTTGATCACTTGTTAAGATATTATCCCAATAAACTAAAACTAAGGTACCATCTTATAAGCTAATAACTACCTGCCTATCTCCCCTAAAATGTGTGAAATTTGAGCTGTAGTCTTTACTTAACAACAAGCTTGACATATTGTACTCATTGGACCTTGAAAAGTTGTGTATTTTCCCTTGAGGTGATGGTCTGTGCAGTGACCCTATCAATAGAGAGCAGGTGGCTGTTCATTTATTTGTTCAGCAGATAGTTATTTGCTTAAAGTCATGGTGCTATAGGAGGTACTGAGAGATCTTAGACACTGTTTTAATAGTAAAGTTTTACTGGCCATGTATCTAGTTGTTGGACTATCTAACCTCTAGTTCAGTAGTTTGAAGGTAAGTACTTATGCATTTAGTTTTTAGGTTCGAAAACAGACTATTACATAATTTTCAGACATTTCCTGTAGCTGACCCTGCCAATTCTGTCCTTTGGTTGAGTGAGATGATGTATTTATTGTATTGTCTCTTTGTTTATCTTTTTATCTGTTTTTGTTCCTGTGCTTTTTCAAAGTTCTTGCATCATACCAAACATAATACCATTTTCCATATAACCTGAGTAAATGCCTTCTAGTCTTGTGTGACTTCTAGTTCTGTTTAGATGAACTCTTGGGAATTTGTAGCATATTCATCTTCTCCATATTAGATATTTGAGAAGCTAATATTAATGGTTGAAATTTTCACAGGTGAAAAGTGAAGTGAATAAGTTGTACAAACTGCTTGAAATAGACATTGATGGTATTTTCAAGTCCCTGCTACTGCTGAAGAAAAAGAAGTACGCTGCTCTGATTGTTGAGCCTACATCAGATGGGAATTACGTCACGAAACAGGAGGTGAAAGGATTAGATATAGTTAGAAGAGACTGGTGTGATCTTGCTAAAGACACTGGAAAGTGAGTTCAGCTTTCATTTTCGCTTTTGTTGTTTGCTTTTAAAAAATTCAAGCATTAACAATGTGGAGAACACTTGTGATTCTGCCAAGCACAAGGACACAACTTCTTTTTGTTATTGGTATCATTGTGTATTAACAGCTCTTACTGATTTGGAATGAAATTTTACAGACGGGTTAAAACTTAGAAAGAGCAAAACTTGCTCAGTAAGAGATGCTTGCTGTAAGGTGCATCTTACGAGTTTTCAGTCATGATGAGGTTAAATCTTCACATTTTAGATGCTTACAGAGTTTCATTGATGTTGGCTTTTTTAAATTTTGTTTTGCTTCACTGTTTCTAGTAGGTAGGAAGTCCCTTACATTGTGCTCCTGAATCTTCCTAGCGCCTCCTTAGGGCCATGATTGTTAAGTTTTCCCTGTGTTGTGGCTTCAAATGTTCTGGGATTCAAAGTGGGCCATGGCGTGAGACTGTCCCTGCCCATATCATTTGTGTGTAAAGGTTCTTACTAATCTCGGGTTAATTTAAGAGCTGGTTCTCAAATACCGTATGTACCTCCAAAATAATAAATGTCATAACTGACCCCTTAGTTTTATACATGAGACTGCAGATTGTGCTAATAAGACCTGTTTGTTTTAGGGCCACATAAGGCACCCATTTTAAAAAGACACATCTTCAGGTACTTTATGTCCCATCTTTCCAGATAATTCCTGCTCTGTGAACCTGACTAGTTCTGAAAATAGAGGGACTTTTTTCTTTAAAGTGAAATTTTAAATTAATTTTTGTGTTGCTGAATATCAGCATTTTTTACTTGTTTTCCAGCCTTTCTCTTGCTTTCAAGTTGGGAGATTGAGCAATTGTTGCTTCTACAAAACTACTCTTGATTAGGCAAAGTTGATCATCTGAGTGTGGGTCACTGTTAGCCTTTTATGAAATATAGTTTGAAATGCTTCATTGCCCCCAAATGTACCCAAAGATGAAACTACTTTGTATAGACTGTCGATTAGAGTGTTCTCTTCAGCTTTGTCTTTTCTAAGAAAAGATGCATCATAATAGAAGTAAATTTCTCTGCGTTAGAAATGTATTAGTAATTAAAGCTATACAAATGTTTTTGTCAGGGTTCTTTTTCTGACAAATTATAATGCAGCTGTCAAACCCTCGCTCTGCATTTTCTCAGAAATGGATAAAATATTGGCTTCCTTACTCCTTTTCTTCTTCTTTTTTTTGGGGGGATCTGATAGAATAACATGAAGTTTTTGAGGCATAGCAATATGATTGGAGAACACTGAGAAATATAATAAAGCCGAAGAAAGAAAAGTGTGAAATCTCTGAGTTTTAAATGATTTGCATAAGGAACTTTATTTTCCTACTTTCTAGCTTGTGGTCATCTCGGGCAGAGATACTATCAGAGATAATATCTTGGAGCTTTGTGAGGAAAGTGAAAAGTTTGTCTTCTCAGATTTTAACCTATGAGTAGAATATAGCTGCTTGTGAATTTTATAATTGCGTAAAAACATGATAGAACACATATTGTTCTCCATCCACACACAAAATAGGAAGCATTAGCTGCCTCATTAAAAAAAAAAAGTCTCTGTGTTTAAGGACAAACCTGACATTGCAAGGTTGGTAAACCTTTGGTAGAATTAATGTTGAAAAAACAAATAGTAACGGCCTTCTGGACATTAACCCTCATGTTATCTTTTAGTATGGCTCTTGTCCACATGTTAATCTAATGGCATTTATCTTCCTTGTCTCTTCTTTATTAATAAAGTATGATATTAAAAAAATCAAACCCTCTCCTTTTTTTTTTTTTCCCGGCAGCTTTGTCATTGGCCAGATTCTTTCAGATCAAAGCCGGGACACTATAGTGGAAAACATTCAGAAGAGGTTAATAGAAATTGGAGAAAATGTGCTAAACGGCAGTGTCCCAGTGAGCCAGTTTGAAATTAACAAGGTAAATGTGGCATTTATTGCTGTGCCCAGCTGCTGCCATGTGTTTTTCTCCTCCTTCAGATAGTTGAAGAACCACCTCACCCTTGCAATTGAAATAAATTCTAGCTGGTGATGAAAACTGCTTAACAACTATCTCACAGACTGCGTATTAGCATAGCACTCTTCCTAGCTCAGCCCCTGATGCTCCCCTAACTGTTGCAGGGCCTTCTTTCTCAGTTCTTTATTCACGGAAGCTTCGTGTCCAGAGGTGCTGTGGAGTGATATAATTGATATTTCAGGAACTTAAGAGTATTACATTCTTCATATTCCTCCTAAGTTACAGTTGTTTGGGGGGCAGGCCTATAAACTTAGAGAGCCTGTGTTGGTGCAACTTTACCGAAGGTGATCCTTAGAGGTACTATAATCAGAAGGCGTCTCTGGATGTTGTTCTTTAGTCATAAGATGGTGCTAGCGTTTTCTATATACTCAAACCACTTGTGGTTGTTTTTTTTTTTAAACTATAAAAGTTACTCTTAATGGATAGTCTTAGTTGTTGAAAATTGAGAATATTTTTTCTTACCTAATTTGAAAAGGAAAGTATTTGTTTCCAAAAGTGCTGTGTAATTCAAGATGTTAGGTTACAGATTTTTCTCTTTTTTTCCATTTAAAAAAAGTATCCTTACATACTCAGAAGGTAATTTCACAAACACCATTTTATCCATTTTGTGATAAATAAATTTTGTTGTCAAACCTCATACTAAAAAGAATTTTGATGAGAAAGAGTCTAATGATGGCATTAAATGGAATTTATAGAATTAAAACTTGTTCTTAATGCCCCTATACTAAAATAATGAGTCATTTCTGCACGTCCTTAATCTTTAAAACAGTTTTACATGATAGCAATTACAGTATATATTATTTTGAAATTGTTTTCACTTAAATAGATTTTACCACATACTGGTATTAACCTTAAAAATCATCATGTTTAATCTTGCTTTTCACTGGTACACCTTTAATTAAAATTTTTGCTTGAGTATTTTTAAATTTTTGCTCTTGTAAATTACTGAATTGAACATCTTTGTTTATTTGTCTTTTTGCTTTTGGATGAATTACTTTCTTAGTTTAGAGTCCTTCAAGGTAAAATATTTGTGTCAAAAGGTTTGAGTATCTATATGGCTCTTGTCAGATTACTTTGTAAAACAGTGACACTAATTAATAATAAAAAAATGTGTGTGCTAATTTCACCACAGATTTTCTCGTACTATATAAGAGATATTTCATTGGTCATAATATCATTGGTGATATTTAAGTAAAACATCGCTACCATAAAGGATGTGAAACACTATTTTATCATTGGATTTGATTTGCATTTCTTAGGTTCCTAGAGAGAATGAATATTTTCTTTGCATATCCTTGTTTGTATTTATTCTTAGGGTAAGTCATTTGTTTCCTATCCCTTAACTGAGATGTCTTTAATATCACAAAGATGATATTCACTTACGTGAGAAAGGTACAAAAAGTGAGAAGTAAGTAATATAAGAGAATGTGTATTTTGGCACTAGCTCTTCACTTTAAGTGATGCAGTACATGCCTATTGGTATGGAATCACTTGTTACATTGGAGAGTGGTTTCCTTTCAGGTTTTGTTTTGTCTCTTAAAAATTTGTATAAGAGTTACTGTTTCATTTTTGCTTTAATCAATTTTTGTATCAGTTCTGCAGATTGTATCCCTTATACTATCTACCTTCTTAGAGATGTGGGTCCTCTGTTGCATGGGATTCCAGGCATGAATTAGGAAGGCTGAATCCCAACATGACCGACCACATTACTGGCAAAAGAACATTGCACTCTAAGGCAGTGGGCCCAGGCCATCATCTACTCCTGTGGGTAACAAGACGGTGTTACAAGTGTGCAGAGAAACCGAGCCTCAGAGACACATTGGCCATCTCTGAGTTCTCGGGAACTTTCTTCAGCCTTGCTATTTTTAAGTTTTTATTACCGAAAATTTAAAACTTATACCAAAGTAACGAGAATAACATCTTTTTTTTTCATTTATTTTTATTAGTTGGAGGCTAATTACTTTACAATGGTCTTTATCTTTCTGGCTTACTTCACTCTGTATAATGGGCTCCAGTTTCATCCATCTCATTAGAACTGATTCAAATGAATTCCTTTTAATGGCTGAGTAATATTCCATTGTGTATATATACCATAGCTTCCTTGAGAATAACATCTTGAACCCACATGAATCCATCACTCAGCTTCAGTAATTACCAACTCAAAGTCACTTATTATTCTTATTACTAACAATACTGGTTAATACTTAGTGTGATTTGGACTGTGCATATGTTTTTCCATGGCAGAACTGAAACCTACTTACTGTCTTTTCACTTGGTGTGGTAGCTAGCAAATAATAGTTGTTCAGTGAGCATTGAAAGAATTCCTCTGCTTGTTTAATCATCCATCAAGCATGGAGTACCTCTTCCATGCACAGTGCTAGAATCTGGGATATAAAGTAGAATAAACAAAACCTAGTTGGTATTTTCAAAATGCTAAGATGGTCTAGCAAAGATTCTGTTCCATGCTCTTATACTTTTTTAAATAAAGAAGAATTCCTGCAGTGTCAATGCAAGTACAGTAAATTCTATGAAAGGACTATCTATATCATAGCTATTCCTGTGCTTGTTTATATTAAGCTTTTTATATATCAAAAGTGACTGTGTTGATTAACATTTGTCTGAATATCTGTACTGTTTAAACTTGTGAGTAAATAAGTTTTTACATTTTGTCACTTTCAAAGGAGAGTGGAATGGAAGAGTCCATGTACGTGACTAGTTGTGGAAGGCCTTATGATAAGATATAGATTAGATTAGATTGACTTTGTGATATCAGTACTGCTTAAAAATGGGAGGTGAGTCTCAGGTGGAGGGATGAAGTGGTGAGCTTTGCCTTTGTAGAGATTTAAGCCTTTGTTGCCAACAGCAGCTGAAAAACACTGTGTGATTTTTCTGAACTGCTGCAATCTTACCTTAAATATATTTCATAAAGTAACATGAAATACCTCAGAGCTGATTTGTCTAGCCCTGGCTAACTTGAGCCTAAACCACCAGGAAGCATTTTTTAGAAAAATCAAGCCTTCTGAAACTAGCTTGTAAAATTCCCAAATAACCCCAATCTAATAATTGGAAAGTGTGTCAGATGAAATTCAGAATTTCTTAACATTGCACTGAAGTATAGTCAATTGAAGAAGATAACAGTTTTCTTAAGTAGAGTTATATTGATTAAGATTTCTATGCAGTATTACCCGTCCAAGTCAATCAAGACTTTGCATAATGCAGCTTTGAGGAGGTTCTAATATTTGGAGACTCTTCCAGGCAGTCACTCTCCTACACTGAGTGTATAATTTAGAAAGTGTACATAGCAGGTGGATGTGCAATTGTGTTTGAGGACCACCTTTTATTCTCCTGTGGTAGTTCTCCAGTTTCTTGGTCTCAGGACATTTTCACACTCTTAAAATAGTTGAGGACTGCAAGAACCTTTGTTTATGTAGCTTATGTTGATATTTACTGTTAGAAATTAAGACTGGAAAGCATTTATTAGTTTATTTAAAAGTGTCAGTAAACCCATTAAATGATTGCAAAAATAATTTTTTTCATGAGAAATATGTATTTTGAAACAAAGAAAAATTAATCAGGAATTGTGTCATTTTGCTGTTTTACAAATCCCATTTATGTCTAGTTTAGCAGAAGACATCTAGGTTCTTATATCTGCTTGTGCATCCAGTCTGATGTGATGTTGGTATTGGTTCAAGTATAGGAAAAAAGTCGTTTCACACAATATGTAGGTGGAAAAAGGAGAACTATTTCAGTAACTTCTTAAGATAGTTGTGTGTATTCTTTGATTCTATACCAGTACTCTGAGTGGTATTGTCTTAAAGGTTATTTGCAGTGTGAAAGTAGGAAACCATATCTTACTCTCTTACATTAAAATCTATTCATCTGTGTGGTGCTTTGAGTTGATAATGTACTCATGCATAATATTATACATTGATCATTCATTAAATGTCTGTTTCCTGAGTTTTACAGATCTTCCAAAATATTGGTACATTTCATTGTACCAATGAATTATCAAATTATCAAAAACCACATTTTAAAACATCTCTTTTTATGAGAAAAGTCTTTAAGTATTGGGGAGCTGTCAAGCTCACAGGAATGGAAACAAATTTTCCAAAATTCTAATTTGTGCCTGATTGCTTCAGTATTCTCAAAGGCAATATACACTGTCAGGTGTTTTCCTTGAAGTGGCAGGCTCACTTGGTTCTTTTTGAGTGATTGTCTGCTAGCTACTCAACTTAGGGTAACCCATAGTTGGCCTGCCATTCTTTCACATAAAAATTGTGTTGAGAAAGGCAACTAGTTTAGCTTGTAACTCAGACAGTTGTATATTACAAATGCCTTTCCTTGAGCAACGTTTGTTCTTGAGTATACAGTAGAGGTGCCTTGTGCATACTTCCCATTTTGTCACACAAAATAATAACTTTGTACTCAACGATCAAGAACTTAAAAAAAACTGAGTGTGTGGTAGTGATGAGTACAATGTGTATTAGTACAGTTTGGTGTGTCTGCCCAGGTTCATGTTTCTAAGGCATCAGCACCTTTACTGACCATTGCTTCTGCATCGCCAGTGCAAATGATATTATTAGGAAAATACTTTTGACCTCTCCAGCCTGAGAAAAGGTGTCGGGAACCCCCAGGGGTCTGCCAACCACACTTAATAGGTGATCTAGACACACACCTTATTCCTGGTCGTTTCTCTTGTCTTTTGAAACCTACCCCTTCCCTTAGTGCATATTGAGTTCTAGTCCAATAGACTGTATTTTTTCTCATCTTGCTTTTAACTTTTACTTTTTCTCCCTGCTTGAATATTCTTGATCCTGTCATCTTTTCTTAAACTTTTTTTTTAAAAAATTCCATATTTTTATCTTTTTTTTTTCCATTTATTTTTATTAGTTGGAGGCTAATTACTTTACAACATTGCAGTGGTTTTTGTCATACATTGAAATGAATTAGCCATGGATTTACATGTATTCCCCATCCCGGTCCCCCCTCCCACCTCCCTCTCCACCCCATCCCTCTGGGTCTTCCCAGTGCACCAGGCCTGAGCACTTGTCTCATGCATCCAACCTGGGCTGGTGATCTGTTTCACCCTAGATATACATGTTTCGATGCTGTTAAACTTTCTTTTTTCCTTCATGTGCTAGTTTGTTTTCTTCTTCCGTGATTTCTGCTCTCAAATGGTACAGGTCTTTCCCTCTCCAGATTGTCTGTAACACATAGTTCACCACTCCCTTCTGGCACATGTAGCTTATTTTAGAATTTTTTTTGAAGAATGGAAAGTCATCTAATAATGACAGATGGCCTAGAACCAGTGACTGTCTTACTCATCATGCAATAGTTTGCAATGCTTGAACTTCATGAATTATCACGGAGTGAAGGAAGTAATTTCTTCTGCAAACAGTGGGTTGCTCTATGCACCAAGAATCGTTGTGAACCTTGTGACTGCAGCTATGGGAAGCGCTGACCTGTTCCTGCTCTCGTGGGGCTTTTCTATTACAAGCTCACTTACTTTGCCTTCAGAGAACTTAAGTTGACAGTGTGAGTATATCCCATGATTTCTGGTGCCTTCCTGATTTATTTAGGTTTAGAAACCTCTGAGAAATAAATCATTAAGTCAGAGGAACCGTTATCCATCTGTCTTAAGTAACCTGTTATTTGATGAGAGAGTTGCAGACATTAGGAGAAATTCTAAGGCTGCATAGAAGACTGGATGTATAGTCTTAATTTTTATATCCAAATATCCTGTGCCTTGGCCTTAAAACTCATATTTCTTTTTTGTCAGGGTTATATCTGGTTATATTAATGCAAAGAAATAGAGGAAACAGTAGAATGGGAAAGACTAGAAATCTCTTCAAGAAAATTATAGAGATACCAAGGGAACATTTCATGCAAAGATGGGTTTGATAAAGGACAGAAATGATATGGAAACTGGTTCCAAATAGGAAAAGGAGTACGTCATGGCTGTATATTGTCACCCTGCTTATTTAACTTATATGCAGAGTACATCATGAGAAACATTGGGCTAGATGAAGCACAAGCTAGAATTAAGATTGCTGGGAGAAATATCAGTAACCTCAGACATGCAGATGACACCACCCTTATGGCAGAAAGTGAAGATGAACTAAAAAGCCTCTTGTTGAAAGTGAAAGAGGAGAGTGAAAAAGTTGGCTTAAAGCTTAACATTCAGAAAACTAAGATGATGGCATCTGGTCCTATCACTTCATGGGAAATAGATGGGCAAACAGTGGAAACAGTGTCAGACTTTATTTTTTTGGGTTCCAAAATCACTGCAGATGGTTATTGCAGCCATGAAATTAAAAGACGCTTATTCCTTGGAAGGAAAGTTATGACCAACCTAGAAAGCATATTAAAAAGCAGAGACATTACTTTGCCAACAGAAGCCCGTCTGGTCAAGGCTGTGGTTTTCCCAGTGGCCATGTATGGATGTGAGAGTTGGACTGTGAAGAAAGCTGAGTGCCAAAGAATTGATGTTTTTGAACTATGGTGTTGGAGAAGATTCTTGAGAGTCCCTTGGACTGCAAGGAGATCCAACCAGTCCATCCTAAAGGAGATCAGTCCTGGGTGTTCATTGGAAGGACTGGTGCTGAAGCTGAAACTCCAGTACTTTGGCCACCTCATGTGAAGAGTTGACTCGTTGGAAAAGACCCTGATGCTGGGAGGGGTTGGGGGCAGGAGGAGAAGGGGACGGCAGAGGATGAGATGGCTGGATGGCATCACCGACTCAATGGACACGGGTTTGAGTAGACTCCGGGAGTTGGTGATGGACAAGGAGGCCTGGCGTGCTGCAATTCATGGGATCGCAAAGAGTCGGACACGACTGAGTGACTGAACTGAACATGAAGGAGAGAGGAGCCTTGAGGATGGAATGTCTAAAGAGCCTGTGGCAGTATTTTCTACATATAGCTTTCTGTCATGTTTATGTGGCTGATGTGATTCTAGCAAAGATATGTTTTGTGTATATCTGTATGTGAAGGGTTTTATTTTAAAGTTTGGGGCTTTTTCTCTCTTAGGCATTGACCAAGGATCCCCAGGATTACCCTGATAAAAAAAGCCTACCTCATGTACATGTTGCCCTCTGGATAAATTCTCAAGGAGGAAGAAAGGTGAAAGCTGGAGATACTGTGTCCTATATCATCTGTCAGGTAAAACTATCATAATGAATAACACTTACACCACTTCCACACCCAGAATAAAAACCAGATCTCTACAGTGTCTCATTTAACTGAAGTAACTGATGCTGTAAAGAGAAGGTTTAGTCTTGGTTGGTTTTACAGCATTTAAAAACATAGTCAGAGTTATGACATATTTTGTTAAAATTTTCATAAAACTTTTGAGACCAGTGGTTTGTTGTTGTTGTTGTTGTTTTTTAAGACCAGTGTTTTGGTTGAGTGAAACTACTTTGGTGAGACAGGTATATAACAGTTGCTACAGTTTAAATTTGAAATGAACTTGAATGAAAGCGTATAGCAGTTTGTGCATGTGTCCAGCAGTAGTCCTTTATCGTCCCTTTTGCAGCAGTTTCCATTCTGAATATTGGTAGAATAAGAGAGTAAACACTAGCCTGTTCAAATAATTACTTGAAAAAATGAAATGCGTGGTTATATGGAAAAAGGTGAGACATCCTAGAACCATACCTTATGAAGAAAACACAGATTATCTAACAAGATCCCTTTTTAATTCTTTATTTTAAATGGAGTGGGCCTACAACCCACTTCTTGCCTTCTCTCTGTTCCATGAGGCATCTCTAAGGAACTTCTAGGTCTTCTGGAATAGTTTTAAACCAGTAACCAGTTTCTTTTGAGAGTAGCATGCCTCTCACAGTTAGGGATGGGGAGAAAGGGTAGACCAGAAGGGGTTTGGGTTTGGGGGAAATTGTTTTTGTTTATTTGTTTGTGTGTGTGTGTGTGTGTGGTTTTTTTTGGAAGCACTTAACTTCAGTCAAAACAAAGGAGGGAGTTGCATCCCTTCTCTCTGCTTAAAAAAAAAGTCAAAACCTATATCCAAATTTTTTACAGTTACTGTGGTATGGTCTGTTTACCAAAAGGCATAATTTATCTCAGTAACACTGTTTCTTTTTAATTAATCAAAGCATTGCATTTTGTTATTAAGTTAAAAAAAATTAGATAAGCCTTGTAATATGATTGATCTTTGTCAAACTACCATCACTGTGTTTTTAAATCAGAGTCTTTTCAAAATGTAGGAGTCATCTGAATAATATCTGCTCGGAACTGTGGATGATGTACATAACAAATGATTTAAGTACATGGACAGGAATCAGCACTTGACTCTGTCTCCCTCCTAGGGTTACCCTTGATTAAGAACTGTTACAGAAAGCCAATTCCTGCAGGAAAATATTTCCATAAATGTCTGACTCGCTCAAGCCCTTAATGTGCTTTGCATATTGCCTTTGACAAGTCTCATCTCAAAAAAACAATTTTCATATTATGCAAATAAAGATTTTGGTAAATAGGCTAGTTTTTTTCCCCTTATGTCTTTATATACATGGAAAAGCTCTTAAGATTATTAATGACAGGAGCAGATGGCAATGTATAACTTTGAAAAATTATATAGGTTTTCTGAAATAGCATCTAAAAATGAAATGAAGTCACAATTATGTTTTGGCTGAACTTGGAATGGAGATGTATGGCCATATGATATATGTATTTCAAAAGTCAAGCTTATATTCTTTGCTGTATAAATATTAGGTCTTATAGTATCTTCGTCTTGGGTCTTACTGATATAAGAAAAGCTCAAAATGCAGATGCTAAATCCAATTTGTTGTATTTCCAACCCTTTTCCCGTTTGACTGGTTCTGGGTCTTATTTTTTTGTTAAAAAACAGTTCTTTTATTGATTTATTCTTCTTACTGTAGCCCAAGAAAAGCTATAGGACTTTAATTTGCCTTTGTCCCCTAGCAGTGGGGCATGCCCACTTTCAGTGTATTTGCTAAGCAAAGCTGCCTACCTCTTTTGCTTTTAAGCACTCAGATATTTTTTCTCTTTCCTAACACAATCATTTTTAGAATATGTTTCTGAAAATGTATGATGACACATTTTTAAGAGAACTGTTTACTGCTCTAAGCAAAGGTACCCTCTCAGAATAGCATAGCTCCTAAGCAGGTTCTCTTTTGTTTAAAATTTACATTTTGAATATAGTGCTCTCCTGATAACTTACTCAGACTATAAATTCCAATGAATTCAGAGAATAATGTTTGTGGTATGTAATAATTTACATTGTAGTTCATAGTCTTATTAAACCTAATGTGAATTATTTGCAGAGATCTTAAATTAACCTCCACTTGTTGATTAAGTGTTAAATCCTTAATTATTTAACTTTCATCAGACGTTATTTTCATAAGGTATACCTTTAACATAATTGTTTCAAGGCTTCTAGTTGTCATCTGTTAAATCTCTTTGCCCATTGGTGTCCTAGTAAAGATGACCACATTGTTTGGAATGGATTTGACCGTGTCCGGTTGTCCTTGTGAAGTATGTACTTTGTAAAGTTCACAAATTACTACACTAGCAGTTCAGGGAAGTGCCAACCTTGCTTCTCAGTCTATTGTTAAGGTGTCTGCCATATGTTTTTGCATGTACCATGGATCTTGCTACATTTCAGAATTAGGTCTTTGATATGTCACAGCCTAAATGTTTTCCCAATATAACACAGGAAAACCTGTCATCGTTCCAATTCTTTTTAATTTAGTCATGTTTGAGCTCAGATTTTTAAAATATAATAAGAAATACGTTTGGGTCACTTAAGTTAAAACTCGTCTTTTGTGGGGATACTTAAAAAGTGCTTCAACTGAGAATATGCTTGGAACTTTGTCAGCTCTTTTTATAGACATGTCTTACATGGGAACATCTAATGATACATTGGAAAGTAACTCAAGCACCATTTAAAAAAAAATAATTTGCCTCCATAAATTTGGTTTTTATTCGTTATTAAAATTTTTTAAAACTCAATGTTACTATAATCTTAAGGACAGATCAGTTTTTTTTAAAAACTGCAATTCTATTAATTGATCAGATTTCCTGTGTTTGTTAAAAGGCAGTCCGAATATAGTTGTGGTGCATGAAGACACTGCTCAAGGGTCTTTCATACTCTTTTTGTCATTGACATCTTATTCCCATCTAATAATTCAGACTTCTAAAACGGCAACAATTAAAGTTGATTAATTATGTCTAAATTCTCTTACTGTATGGTGAACTCCTGAAAAATAATTATAAACAAGTCGTTTAATCTGAGGTTTGCTTGCATGCTCAGTTGCTTCAGTCATGTCTGACTCTTTGCGACTCTATGCACTATATAGCCTGCCAGGCTCCTCTGTCCATGAGATTCTTCAGGCAAGAATACTGGAGTGGGTTGCCATGCCCTCCTCCAGGGGATCTTCCCAACGCAGGGATGGAACCTGGATCTCCTGCATTGCAGGCCGATTCTTTACTGCAGAGCCCCCAGGGAAGCCCCATAATCTGAGGTTTGCTTCCTTTCTTGTTCTTTCATTATATCTTAGCATAGTAGAAGCTGATTGATACACATCCTAGTTTGTTTCTGTTAGGAGCCTAGCCAGAGAAAGAGGCCATTGCCTACAGTTTGTTGTAAGACAGTGATGTGAAGGGTGGCCTTTGCTTTGACCTTGGCGTTAAACTGAGAAGGGACTGATTGTAGCAGGAATCAAAGAATAGGATTAACATTGTAATCAGTTTTGCAGAGCAGCTGAGCACTGTGAATAGTTAAAATTTATGAATCTGAACATTAAATTCTGTTGTTGCAGACAAGAGTGGAGTTAATTGTTGGATATTGGTCCAGTGGAGTGATGCCTTTTTGATTCACACATGGTGATGACATCACCCACAGGACTGTGTATGGGCCAGTTTACTCTTACCTGTTAATATCTTGTGGGCTTCCCAGGTGGCGCAGTGGTAAACAATCTGTCTGCCAGTGCAGGAGATGCAGGAGACGTGGGTTCAGTCCCTGGGTCGGCAAGATCCCTTGGAGAAGGAAATGGCAACCCACTCCAGTATTCTTGCTTGGGAAATCACATGTACAGAGGAGCCTGGTAGGCTGCAGTCCATGGGGGTCCCAAAGAGTCAGACATGACTGAGCCACTGAGCACACGCATGCATTATATCTTGTGCGTAGGTTACTGCTGTTGGGTTTCATGCTCTTGTCTTTTCCCCTTGCTCATTTGTTTCTCAGTGACACAGCTTTCATCAAGAGATGTTGAATACACATACACACCCAGTCTTTAAGATGGTACTATGACGTTAACATAATAGAAGGGTCACACAAATTTTGGTCATGGCTTCTAAAAGGCCTTTGTTAGCAAGTCTTCCCTGTGTGTTTCTGTGATATGGCAGGTGGAATTATTTAATCTAGTCATGTCATCTTGTTGGTTTCATGTTTCAACAAAAAATAGAACACAACACATGCTGGATTTACATTCCTGGACAGTGGGTGAGTCGTTCTCCTTGATCTTCCTCCCGTTAGATGCTTACGACCACCAACAGGTCAAAAGCACTTCTTGGGCTTTGGAATTGAATATATAAAATTTTAATTGTCCCTCTCTTTGGCCAAGAACGTATTATTTCTCACAACTTTCCCTGTACTGTGTCCTCTTATAGGATGGTTCAAACCTCACTGCAGGTCAGAGGGCCTATGCACCCGAGCAGCTGCAGAAGCAGGACAATTTAAACATTGACACCCAGTACTACCTGGCCCAGCAGATCCACCCAGTCGTGGCTCGAATATGTGAGCCAATAGATGGAATCGATGCTATCCTCATTGCATCATGGTTAGGTAAGTGTCCCAAGCTCCCTTATTTCAGCACCTGGAGATAGCAGACCATACCGTCCTCCCTTACCTGTCAGGAGCCTGTTTAGAGGCATGGTACCGCATTGAGCATTCTTCATTTGCAGTTGGGCATTTGTTCTTGTCATTGTTTGGTTAATGTCTATTTCCCCTCCTAGACTGTTGACCCCACAGACTTGCTACCTATGTAGGCAGATGCCTGCTCCCTTGCCTGCACTCAGCAGATGCTGAGAGGAGAGAGAGGAGGGAAAAGAAAGGATACGAGGAGGTTTTAGCCATCTCCTCGTCTCTGAGTTTATATCGTTGTCGCTTTAATCAGTGAACTTTCCTTAATAAGATTTATTGTATCTTGATTATTGTTTCCTCTTATCTCAGACTCTAAATGTGTTTTCGCATGAGAATGTACAACTTTTTTAACATTAAGACGTTTAAGTTGTATTTGATTCCCTTTGAATATCCTGCTGTCGCTTTTTAAAATTTTTCTAAGATTGGACTTTTTATCTTCTAGGAATTAGTTGATACCTAACTTCTTATCATCTCTGGAGGTTCCATCCAACCCTGACAGCTCATTCTTTCTTTGACTTTTTGCCAGGTCATCAGATTGTCATCTCTTGCTTGGAAATGTATTTCATAACCAGCCCTGATCACATTTCTAGATGACCAGCATATTGAGAGTTATATTGCTTTAAGGTCTCTCCTCTCTATGCCATTGTACACAACGATGAATATTTTTAGGATAACTGCCTAATAAAGTCCCTGGCTAGCTCCTCACTATCTGTAAGTCCAGTTGCCACTGACATCTTATAGGCTGTGACTTGGGCAGTTATAGACTAACTTTTCTAGCTCTAGCCTTTATTTCTAGCTCAACTTATTTTGTCCTCTAAATATGGCATTCCTTAATCTGTCCCTGCTTCATGGAAAATTCTCCACCTCCTCTCACTGAAATGTTTGACTTCAGACACAGGCTTTGGCATCATAGGGATCTGGGTTCACACTCTGGTTCTGTTGTTCATGAACTCTGGCTTCCGCAAACCTCTGAAGCTTGATGTCAGCCTTGGTCTCTGGAGTCATAAACTAGAGTTGTTCTGAAGGAGCCATTAGAGGTGCACTTGAGATGCTTCTCCCAGGCCTGGGCAGGGGTAGTGCCTGATCTTGGCCATGCCCCACTCACTGTCAGGCCTGTGCAGAAATATGTCCAAACTCCTCTAGTCCATCAGATTTGCATGCAGTTATCTCTTGGTGTGCGTTTGTGGACTGAGATTGGACAGATGAATCATCAAGTCACATACTTTCCACGCTGCTCTTGTTGAATGTGTTTCTGGGCTCCTCCCTGCCAGCATGCCCTCTTCGCCCCCTCACCTCCTTCTCTCCACTCTCCCATCAGTGTCTGCTCTGGAAGTGGAAACTCATTTTTGACATTTGCCTAAGCAAAACATAATTAGGAAGATAAAATTCTGCTACCCAAATCATCATATAATGTATTCTCAAAGTTGAGTTGTATTTGATGATGTTTATAAATCCTCAGCTGGGAGGAGGGAGCGTAAGTGCACAATATTTTTGAGCTTCCTTCTTTTTTTTTTTCCTCTCCTCTGCCTTTAGTGCTTACTCTATCAGAAACTGTAATAAGTCCTTTGCATATGTTATTTCATTTAATCCTTTCAGTAACCCCTTGAGGCTATGTTGTATCTCCTCCATTTTACAGAGAAGAAAGCTGAGGCTTAGAGAGGTAACTAACTTGGTCTTACCACATCGCTAGTAAACGGCAGACTGTGCTTGGACTGGGAATCAGCTCTGTGCGACTCCAAAGCTTTTGCTTGTACCACCAGCACTTCTTACCTGTGAGAGGCTGTGACCCACGCCCTCAACCAGGAGTGGCATAGTGTGGATGTGAAGACCTGGGAGCTTCATCCTCTTCATGCTTCCTCTTCTCCCACTGATAAACCCCTGAACAAAGCATTTGTGTTTTAGAGGAGATCTTCCTGGTTTTAGTTTGGATCATCAAGAATCTGGTCCAAAGGTTAACCATTGCCCTTTTATTTCTTAGTACTGAATTTTCTGGTGGCCTAGAGCTGAGGAGAGGTAAATGAAACAGGTTTCATCTCTCAACTGACATTTAACAGTTAAGGGTGGAGCCTTGTATTTCAGCAGAAGAGCCCTAGAGTAGAAGGTGGTAGATCCTAGTTGGTAGACAGGCTGATGCCAACTTGGATATCTCAAGACTGGCTGTACAAGGAGCAGACCAGACTGATTTTGTTAGTTCCAGGGTTGTATTTAAGATCCTTTTCATATCCATTAAATCGCAGGCACATTGTGGCTACTTAAAGGTAAACTTTCTCATCATTGTGGCTGTCTTATGAATCCAGTTTTCATGTATTATTTTCAAAGCTGGTAGGCTGGGGAGCTCCATCTTCAGAGGGTTCTTGGTGTTACTTAGCACCCTCAGTCTACTGAGGGGACCTTGTGACCATGTGCACATCGCCCTTTTCCTACCCCCATCTCCTGAAAGCTCCCGTTTTTGGGTAGAGCTGCTGAAGGGCCTGTGTCTCTCACCCTGAAGGAGCTGCGGCTTCTCCCCTTTTTATCTTTTTCTCATCTTTATCTTCTGCTACTTGACAGCAGTTTTTATGCCGAAGACATGTGAAGTTGTCATCATTGTGCAGTCTGCCTCCTCCCACCGCAGCCCCGGCATCACCAGCAGTATCCACATACCTATCTACATTTGTAGTAAATCTCCCAGTCCTTTATCTTTACTTCTTTGCTCTTAGGAGGGTCCACAGTAATGAAGTGCAGAACAGCAAGTGCCAGTCACCATGAAGATGTGTAGAAAATGTGGAAGCTGGCTGGGCAGATCTGTGTAAGCATCTGCCCCCTGCCCTTTTCAGGAGCTGCATTTTGATCTGCATCCTTTGTTCCTCCACCCCAAGGGAAAATTAGGGTGGCTGTTCTTCACTAGGGGATTCGAGGCCCCTGTTATCAGTTCTCACTTAGCCTGTGGTTTTAGAGGAGGAGGGAGGAGATAGGGAAGTGGTGGGAAAGGAAGGGAAGTGTTAGGGGGTGCCTGGTTTCTAAGAGGTGCAAGCTGTAGGCATAAAATTACTGTAATTTGTTTTTAAAGTTCTAAATCTGTTTTCTATATATTAAAAAAAACTGCAGTTAGTGAACTGACACTGTTAAATAAGTTGAAGTCTGCAAATGTACACATAAAATACAAGCCCTCCAACCGTCTAATCACAGACATAAAATAATTCTCTTGCTTTTAATGTAGTTTTTATCTTTGACTAATGAAATGTATTACAGTGTTGAAACTTCAGTGAAGTTTGCTACTTTGTCCTTTTAGCTAGTATAAAGAAATCAGGAATAATGGCATAATTTCATTTAGGAAAATTATTAAGTTCATGATTTTTTATTTTTAAGACTCCTTTGTGGAGAGCAACTATATTTTTCAACTACCTCTTTTTCTGTTGCTTTTATACTGCTTTCCTCGAAATGAAAGGCACGCATCAAGTGTTGGTTTTATCCTGTGGCTTCACTTTGGAAATTCTCTGACTATTTCTCCCTGTCAGAATACCTCCTGAAGTCTGTCTGGTGGCATGTTGCATGGCCAGGTGTTCTATATAGGAAGGTCATTTCAGTGAAAGGGAGAGAGGATAGTCTATTAAATGAGTGAATGAATAAGTCTGTTGAATTGAAAGAGAATAATTTGTTCTCCCTAATAACTAATGGTCCTCATTATCCCACAGTAAAATATGTATCATTTTTCTGAAACCCATGCAAGATTATTGCTATTGGGCTTAAATAAAGCTAAATTTTGCTCTTTTCCATCTGTGAATAGAAAAAAATATAGTATTACTCTTCTTATACAATAGCCCTATGGGAAACATGGCCACTAAAACTTGGAACTCTTAGCTTTTGTTCTCTAGACTATAGGTTTTTTTCTCTCTTGTTCTAATGAAAGCTCTCTATATTCTGTGGATGAAATATTCACAGTATGCCCCAACATCCAGATAGTCTTCTGTACCTAGCAAAACAGGCTGGGGATGAGAATATTCTAAAGTTCATTCTTGAATTTCATCTTTTAATAAATTTATATTTAATGCATGACAATACTTAAAATTATATAATATCTTTACTCTGATGAGGAGTGATTTTGTACAATAGCTTTCAAGTACATTTCTTCATGGTCAGTTATAAAATTTCAGGCATTTGGCTATCAGGGCTGTTTTTTCATTGGTCCTGAGAAATTATTGATGTTTGAAGAACAAGAGAATTTAAAATTTAACCTTTAAAGTAGTGCTTAAAACAAGGCAACACACTTAAGCCAGTGTGTTCTTGAGTTAAATTGGAAAGTAAAAACCCCTCTTTTTATAAAATGGCCATGCCACCTTACAGAAGGTGGTTTCTGTCAATACACAGAATTCAGTAGCATTTTCTAAGAAATGAAATGCCACCACGGGCCATGCCATGTATGGGTGTGCCTTTGGTAGACCTGGAGAGATATACATACAAAGGTGGTGGTGGGAGTGGAATGATGCCACCAGCAGGTGCCTCAGGCATTGATATGAAGAGTTTGCCTTTTTTCATGATTAAACTCTCAGAAGAATGTATATACATGACCATCATTTCCAAGCCTTAAATATTTAATTTGACATAATTTATAATAAAATTTAAAACATAAGATTACACCAAATGCAATGTAGGATAGTAAGTCTTCTCAGCAGATAAGAGCCCCCTCTTCCAGGCTGGGTGCCAATCCAAGCATGTCACCGAATGGCTCATGCTCCTGGCTTTCTTATGCATCCTTGGAACAGATGAATGTTGAAGACCTGAGTAATGGGTGCTGTGAAGGGTACAAAGTTGAGTTGGCTGAGGCTCTTCAGTTACAGCCCAGCCTGTTGAGTCAGTTTCCCTCTTGTGGGAAAATCTAGGGCCAGCACAAGTACATATCCCAAAAGAGGCAAAATAAATTTTTCAGCGTTTTGGAAGAAGCA